AAACAAACTAAAGCAAAATAAGAAGAGATGTTTTTCTTCAAGAGAATTAAGTTTTTTGCCATCCAGAATGAACATGAAAGCATGGAAAACATCAGCCAAAACTATAACTTTAACGAACAGAAATTTGTCTCGTTGGTGTTCACCATGAGTTCAGGCCGTTTTATACCAAGTTTTGATCGTTTTCTGCAAAATTTAAACTTATCTCCATGCAATATAGAAAGACAGGACTTCAGTAAGACAAGAGATGTACCTGTAGGAAAGCAAAGTCAGCTCAAACGAAGACGGAAATTGCAGCGCGTTATCTTACATACCGACCAAGAGAAGTAGTTTTCACGACGAAGAACTGTTATTTGTTCCTCTACTTACWATAAAATCTCACGAAAACTTGGACTTTCCTGCAGCTTAGTGGAAAGTAAGACTATTAATTTAGTTGTTTTTTTTTGCAAGCCTTAAGTTTTATAAGTTTAATTATCTGTGCATTTTTTTCGACATAAGCTCATTGAGTTTGTTTCTTAAAAAAGTTRAACAAGCTTATTAAAAAGTATGCCGAATGAAAGTCTCGTTATATACATAATAAACAGCTTATAGCATGGAAAGTTCCTCGCTCGTTCGTTGTTGTATGATGCAAACAACTCGTGAATAAAATCCCCTACGTCGCACTTTCCATGAAATAAACTGTATGGATCATATAATTCAAAGCGTTTAGCTCAGTATTTTATGTAAAAATAATGTATATGTAAATATAATATATATATATAAAATGCATCTAAAAATAATTGGAATATCCATTTTTGAGAATAAGTAATGAGAAAATTAATAACCACCTACCCCATCCAATGATAGAGTACCTACCCCATCCAATGATAGAGTGTATCAAATATAGCTTTGTAACAACGAAGACTTTGACAAGCATGAAATACAGGTGAAGTCCCTCACACAGCAYCCATGAGAAGACAGCTGTGTGAAAGTAGTGCTGTACTACTACTAACACGGTGCAAAGAATCTACGGTAAGACATAGAAATATTGATCATTACAATGATCCTTAAACTTGCTAGAACAAATTTTGCAAATGCCCATCAGCGCAAACGTAAACCCGGTATTAATAACGCTAATAGAGCTATTTAACTACTCGAACCAGTAGTCTATATTCAACGTTCTCATACTCATTAACTACTCATGAGGTATCCAGTCAATCCCTGATTGTTATTTGTACCACGTGCAGCTACTGGAAACTAGAGGAAGTACTACTCGCTTGAATTCTACCTTATTTCCAGATACTTCTACCTTATATCCAGTTACTTACGTATCTCCAGTTACTTCTACCTTGTTTCAAGTTGCTTCTACCTTGCAGCTAAAGAATGCCCTTCGGGAATTTGAGAACAACAAACGGTGCTTCATGTATTCAAAATTATGAAAACTGAAAACCTTGGTGGAGATGCAATGAATCAATATATTTTTGTTATATGTATTTCTTCGCTTTTTCCCCTCCCGAATAATTAATGAGTATGAAAAGTCATTCAAAGTCCTCCAAATAGGACTGGAGGGGATTTCAAGTCCGTGCAATTAGTTGCAATCCGAGGCGTTAGACTTTAGGCTTTGGCTTTAAGCATTACATACTTTAGAGTATTACTTCTTATGTATCGCTTGCCAGGTTATTGGCGCAGTGCAGGTCCAGGCAGTTTTCAGCCAGCCCGACAGAGCTGTTGGGCATTAAAAATTGTCTAAAAACGTTTTGGAAGCGTATGCGCGGCAAACACAAGTGTTAAGGAAACTAAACTATGCAAACAGAAACTTGTCCTCAGTGTCCTGTCGGGCGACTCCTTTTTAAGATGGCGGTCGTCAATTTTATTAGCCAACAAGATAACGGCTTATTACTTCAGCCAAYGCTAGGATYATACCCCGACGACCGCCATCTTAAAATAAAGATCTTTTCKTTTTCAGCAACTGGCGATAATACAAAGTTGGGTATTTTTGACGATATATGGTACTTACTCGATATTCATTCCTTTTAGTGAAGAAAACATCAGCCATGTAAACCAAGTTTGCCAGGATAAGTGATATCATGAGACTTCGATGAACATAAAGTTTTTCTGCATTTCTTTGCGATTTCATTCTTTGAAATAAATTGAAATTGTTTAGAAAACATTCAAATTGTAGCAAAATRTCGGATTCAGAATTCAATGAAGAATCGCAAGTATTTTGAATTCCACCATCCATATTGTCAGTGACTCTTTCGCAATTAGTATATGAAATATTTTAGGATCCTGCATTCCTCTGTTTTATCAGTTTCCCTTTCAGTTACTTCTAATTCAGGATCTATACCAGAGGCAAAGTTTGCTGCATATCGGATTCCGTGTCATGGTACGAAAAATAACAAAATATCACAGCAACCAGAAAGAAAAACATGACACTAATATTCAAACTCGGCGTCCTTGAAGCAGAGTTAACAGAATACACTGATCGTCGCAGTGCTAGAAACTCATTCTAGACATTTAACCCTATTTGTGGAACCCCTTCACAAAGTTGTATATTACAAAAGGTTAAAGAAACCATAGAAAGACTGGATTCTTTACAAGAGCCCAAAAGATTTGAAAGACTAAGAGGTCAAAGAAGATACAGGACGTCTTCAAGAAACTAACCGACAGAAAGTCGGCAAGTCGAAAAAAGTCAAAGAACGCGTAATTTGAAGTGAAAGAAGACGTAATGTCGATAAGAGCGTACAAAGTACAATGAATACAGAAGGCCGGCAAGTAAACGAATCACTGTTTAAAAGCTTTGGAATTGACTGAACTGTGCACTAAGGACTAAAGAACTAACGAACAAGAACTAACAGAGAAAAAAAATCTTTTCATATAATATATATTCTATTTAGAAGTATTCGTTATATTGTTAAAATATCTAGTTTTAAAAATTCATCGGATGTTCCTTCTAAAGGACAAGATTAAATTCCAGTATTATAAATTCTGGAATACGTTTGTTGCTGGAAAACTGCGAATTGTTGGTTGGTTTGGGAGCGTACACACCACGTGACGAGTAGTGTCTTACATACGAACCACTGGCATTGTATTAAATTCACTGAACATTACCGATTAACCTGATCTTTTCCCAAAATCACTTTAGTGAATTGACGGCAGTCTATTAGTAATTGTACGTCATTATTTGTATCTGAGCTGGTCGCATAGTAACGGGAACGACGCAAATATTAGAATTGAATTGACGTGATTTTACACTGCTGTTAGGGTGGATCATTATTTTGCAAAGTACGGAATCGGGTAGGTAATGCACGACCCATAACTTTATATCTAATGCAATTATTTACTCATACTATGAATTGAACGCGACAATTTTTTTGAAAAATAGAGTTTCTGAGAAAAAGAAAGTTGAGTGAATATGTGAGTTGCTAATAACTTGCATAAAATCAATCTAAACATATCCTAGCATAGGTGAATGACTGGTTCAGATGTCGGTAAACGTTTACAGTAAATGCTTGAAGCGAGTGGAATTGCAACTGATGATTATTTACTTTACTCTTTTCAATATCACGATAGCTACACTCATGGCAGCTGTTCCCAATATCATCAAGCTGAGCTCCAAATAGATTTGTGTCTTGCTGAGGACTGGCTGTGTAGAGATCGTTTTGGTTATTTTATTGGTACTTTTGTTTTCCATCTGAAAAAAAAAAATTATATATTTATAAAGCGCATCTTTATAAAGGCCGGATAAATTATTTACGCAATAGAAAACCGTTTCCGTGTTTACATAGACTAAGTTTTTTTTAATAATAAGTCTTATTATTTTTTAAATCACAGTTTATATCATTCTTGCACAACATTACTGAAAATGTCTCGCAATGCATTAACAGGAAAAAAACGACAACAAAAGAGCATTGTTATGATATACATAATTACATAGTTAGCAATTAACTATAATAATTATAATGACGTAATCTTGTAAATCAGCCTTGCGCAGATATCAATAAATTTGGCGCCACAAGGTGTCAGAACGTTGAGGATTATCTCGCCGAATTCAAGTCAATCAAGTAGTAGTTTGCCATGGATAAGCTGCGAGGCTTACTGATGCCGTTTCTGCCAGAAACGTTTCTTAAATTCAAGCGACACTGCGAAAGCGTGTTCGCCGGACCGTTGAATGACCAACAAGAAGAGGTCAAAGTCCACTATCTGAAAATATTGCTTGGTGATCAAGGACAGGACATCATTGACGGATTCAACTTTTCAACAGACGAAAGCAAGAAGCTAGAAAATTACTGGTCAAAACTTCAGAACTTAAACAAATGCCAGATGAAACAGTGGACAGATTCATGACCAGAGCCAAAATACTTGTCGACGATTGSGATTATAAAGACAAGAAAGAACAACTCATCGATGCAAGATGCACTCATCTTTGGAATTCAATCAAATGATCTTCGAAAGAAATTACTAACTTGCCAAAGATAGCACTCTTAAACTCAACGACGCCATGTCAACGCGCTTCAAGAATTCAACGAAGTCTACTCCCAAAGCTCAACATTACGCTCAGAAATCGTCATCTACACGTCTTAAACAAAAACAAGGATGTCTAAACTGTGGACTATCTCACTCGAAGGAGACCACGTGTCCCGCCAGTAAAGACAACTGCAATTTTTGTACAAAGAAGGGACACTGGGAAAAAGTCTGCATTTCTAAGCAATACCGCCAAAAAGGAACTAGACGTCTACAAGGTACTAGAAAGAAAATTAATGCACTTGATGTTGATGAATCAGCTGAATACTGCACTCCAGATGATCAATCCATTACATTTGACACACTTCACTTCTCTAGTCTTACAAATGAAGAGTTGTCTGCCACTGTCAAAATTAAAGGAGAAAAGGGTCAACATAATTTACGCTGCAACTTTGTTGAACCAACCGATTGGGTATTGTGATTGTCGATTAAGTCTAATAGTGATGTCAGAATATGTTTGGACCCCAAAAGGCTTAACGATGCTATCATACGTGAGCACCTCTACACCCAAAAGCTTAATGGTGCACTACCACAACTGAGCAATTCTAAAGTTTTCAGTAATCTTGATGCCAGATCTATACTGGGACGCTATTCTAGACGACTAATCTCAATTTCTGACGATATTCGATACGACCTTCGGGCGCTATTGTTTTTTCAAACGCCTACCATTTGGGCTTGTATCAGCGCAGGACAGTTTACAAAGAAAGATTGATGAAAGGTATGATGGATTGCCAGGCATCATTTGAGTAGCAGATGACATTGTTGTCTACGGCCAGGACGACAAGACACATGACCAGAATTTAATTCAAATGATGGAACGCACCAAGGAGCGAGGACTGTCACTGAACTCTGACAACTGTTACTTCAGGCAATCCAGCATCGGTTTCTATGGACATATTCTAACCAGTGAAGGGGTTAAGCCAGACCCATCAAAGGTTTCTGCTATCAAGGACATGAAACAGTACTTGCGTACTTTGATTCAAAGAAACCAGTGAGAATRTGATGCATCTATGGAAGGTCGTGCTGCTCTCCTATACCAGAATGACGGACCAGTTGTAGTTGCAAATTCGTAAAAATATTCAGTTTCATATGGTTAAATAAAATGTTTACAAATGGAACAAATTAGCCACTTACACCGTGGACAAATTCTTTAGAACAGTTTCCCGGGGTTGTATTGTTTCTCATTATGTCCTGCAAACAAATCATTGATATATGATAAAATGCATAGCACTTTCAAAATAATATTATAGTGAATCAACAAATAAGTAATATATAAAAAATGAGAGGGAGACCTCGCTTGCAGCTCACAGTTTTAAATGCCCATAAAGGTCGGACGCGAATATTTTATATTGCTTATCAAATTCCAACATAAGGTAAAGCATATTTCTAATATCATTTGTAAGAGAAAATCGAAGTTAAAGTCGTATGCAAATCAGGACAAATCTCTCACATAAAGATGCGGCCACGGCAATGATTTTCCATTGTGTTTACCTTATGAATTATTAATGAATTTGATAACGAATCAAATTCAGTAACGATTCCTGTCAGGAGTTCAGCACGGTTTATGTGCCATGTCTATTTTTCCTTCATTGAAGGACAATTTTGTAAATATAGGAATCACAATTCCAATTTTCAACCAAAGGTTGTTTATCAATCATCCCCATCATTATAATGATAATAAATGTACTTCTTTGTATCTAATATATAATATTAGAAAACGACATTATTTTAAGTATAGTTTAAAAAAAAGAGAGATATCCTACTGTCTGCTATTAACACTGTGTAGTCATGTACATAGTCGCCGAGAATCTTCAGTATAGTTTAAAACACGATCTCGAGTGTTTTAAACAGCTTCAAAAACTCCAACACTAATTTGAAACTCAAATCCGTTAAATTCTTGGAGAAATTGCCGTAAAAATAAGTTTTGAGATAAATGGGGCAAACTAATCGTTCGCGAATCGCTTTACTAAGCACTCTTGTCATCCCACATTGAATACGCATAAGTAAAATAGAACCGCTATTGGCTGTTGGCTGTTTGCTGCAATCGGTTGACATCCTGCATTGGTCAATGATCAGGTATCAAACCTGAGACCTTTGCTAGGGTCATGGACCTTTATATCTGATAAATGTCACCCTTATTAGTATTCTTTATATAAAGAATACTAATAAGGAGTGTTTTATCAGATATAAAGGTCCATGCATCTGACCAAATAGGCTAAATCTATTGGACTAATAACGTATTAATTATGTATTTTTGAATATCTGATAAACCACGATCTTGAGTGTTTTAAACTGCTTAAAAAACTTCAACACTAATTTCTTTTCACTCTTTTCTTTCCACATTAAATACGCGTAAAGTAAAATAGAAGGCCTGGTGACTGTTTCATTGCAAACGGTTTACAATCTTCATTGGTCAATGGTGAGATATCTAACCTGAGACCTTTTCTAGGATCATGRGCCTTTATATCTGATAATGGCCGTTCTTATCAGTATTCTTTATAAAAAGATACAAAGAATATTAATAAGGAGTATTTTATCTGAATAGGCTCTTTCGATTGGCATAATAACTCATAAATTGTCATTGTCTAACTGAATGCTTACGAGTGAAGCTTAAAACATTGTATTGCAGCATAGAACTTCTTAGCTAGCTTGTGATGATGACATTAGGGGAACTTAGGACACATTAYTGCATTGGTGTACTGCGTACAATTTTTGATCAGCAAGAGCGCGCGCACCAGCTAGAGGACCATAATCAAACCATTTGACGTGCTATAGCGCGAATGTGGCGACCTATAATGCTCGTATTACGAAAAGCAAACTATATGAGTCTGAAAAAAAACCTATGAGCGGATTTAGAGATATCTAAGAATTCGCATTGACAACTTATTACATGGGCTTCCTGTGGAAGCTCATGTCTTAATCTACCTTCTGTTCAATCTATCAATCTATCTATCAACGTCGCGTATAGTCCCCCATGATGCTTTACGAACTTAAAAATGGTCACGTGGCCTGATAACACAGGAGACCCAAAGACACTTAAAACAAAATGGCTGACAGACGGTTGAGACGGCGGCAAAAAGTTGTCTCGTTTTAAATGGGTCTAAAATGTAGCTAAAATACTCTAAAGAGCTGAAAATCTAACAAAATCAACTGACTAACATCCAAATGACATGGAATAAGGTATATAATTCAAGGTTGTCGGATGATTCATGCAGAAATGACTGGGCATTTTCTACCGCCGACACGAAGAACACTACGTCGCCACAACAAGTGCTCGATGTCAATGACAAAATCCTCAAAAAGTAAGAAATCGCATGAATATTTAAGGTTGATACTTTGACAGAAGAATAATTATTCGATGGACTAAAACATATCAAACCTCATCTGAAAAATATTGATGCCATTTTCTAAGCTGACGACATGTGTTTGGACTTGAAAACTGCACGTGTACGTGCTTTACTGAACTCTGTACAAAATCTATATTGTGTATGGAGCATTTTAATTCTTTATKAAAATTTGTTTTGATGATTGTTTAACTTGAAAAACTTACACAAGATCTTACATGATTCAAACGATCAAAATAATTTTTAAAGTTATCAAAGTATAAATTGCGTGATTCGCGGTTCGAGCCCTCATTAAGCCGTAAATTTTTTCTACTTCATTTCTTGAGACTTTTCAAGACTTTCTTTTTCTTTTCTTTTTTCTTTAATTAGTATAAACAGTTTTATGAATAAAGATTGATTTTTGAAGCCATTTTTATATTTTACCCCCTCGTAAATAAAAATAGACAAGGGAGGTAACTCAGCGATCGAAATTTGCCAAMCGGCTCTAAACTGCGGCCTYTAAGACACCTTTAACTTCATCCAATGGACATCAAACTCCGTTCAGACAATTTGGTGCAGTCTTTTCAGAGTTTAAATGGGTTTACAGAAACACTGAATTAAGGCATAAAAATTGCTACTGCTCTTATAGCTATAGCAAACAATCAAACAGCTGMTAAAAACAATATAGCAGAATCACAAAACATTGTTGAGAGCTGTTTTGCAAAAATCCCTTTATTCTATTTTTTATTTGATCATTACAACCTGCAATATTTATAGGACAACAAATACATTTACATTGCAATTAAAAGACGTGACTCGCAATGCAACTTCTCYAAATCTGAATTGTTCCTGAAACACAGATTTTTAGTACTCAAATAAAAMATAACATTGCTAGAAAACAAACCTTCTCAATTGGAAATTGCTTCAGGAAGCCCATGTAAGCGCTCTCTGAGCGTCTAGTTATAATGGCGTGCCTATAAAGACTATCTTTATTATCTTGAATTCTGAGCTGAGGTAATTCTCTTAAACATATTTTTAAAGCTATTCAGAGGTCTAGAGTGTAAGGATAACTCTAAGCGCACTATTGTCACTCGCGCACGCACGCGATGCAATTTGATTCCCTTTAGCGCAAAAACCAGACAGACCATGATTTTTGTTATGATAAGCTTATATACAACTTTGACTACTTTCTAGTGTTACCAAACTAAACGTGATACTTTATTTATTCATGTTCTCCTATATTCTTACCTTTTCTGATTCGTTCTTTCCAATTTGAAAAACACTTAACCTCACTGCAGATCTATACCATGATTTTTGTTTCAGCAGCCCGAGAAAAATTAGAGCATTTCGACCGACAACTCTATCTCTAATAAATATAAACAATGTAAATCAGTGTTGGTGATATTCCATGCATGACAATGACTCGGGAAATAAACTTCGCAATCAGGAGGAAAACAAATATTAACATTTGAACGTTCATTACAAATTTCTAATTTTGAAAGATTCACATTTCGCCGAACTGCATAAAAACAAATTATCAAAGATCACAAATATATGGGAAACCTGATAATTTTGATGATATTTCTCTTGTGGTTGAGTTCAATTTTCTAGAAACTCTTCCCCAGTCCTCTACTCGTTTTTGTAGTTGTCAATCAGTTTTATCTGCACTGTGAAGGTTTCATCATTGTAATGTAAATTTACAACGCGTTCTCGAGGTGATCTGAGTTTCGTTTAATTTCTTAGTCTCGAATTTTGAAGAGGACGCGTAGTTACAAGATGACAATTTTCTGGCCTCTCGAATTTAAGAGGCAGTCTCTGTAAAAGCGGTCCGATGAATTTCGGCTCAGAAATAGTTTTCCCTCAAATTTCTACCATGAATTCGCCCTATCATAGTAAGTAATGAAAATCGACTTTGTTTTTCAAAATTCGTTAAATTAATTTTTTTTCAGCCTATTTTTACAGGTCCACCGTCTTCGCTAAATTTTCATTTTTTCACGATAGGAAATCGAACATTTTCAGAACAGCATAACTCACAAAATATAGAACGCAGGCCCTAAATATTTTTAGCCATTCTTTTAGATGTATCTGTGCACTAAATAGTAGCAAAATTTTGAATATCAAATATAAGGGAAAAATAATACACTATACGAACCCCATTATTCGGCTTTTTGAAATCACGGCGAAGTATACTTTACAAAGTAGCTTTTATCTGCCAAGTCCAACACAGTTTGCTTAAAATTTTTAATGAATTCTACTAACCTAAGGTTGGTTAACAAGAACACATAAAAACATTTTGCGCTTTTGAGCTATATTCTGTACAGCAGGCGCGTAGTTTTCGTGTTTTTCAGTAACTTGCCGTTAAAATATGCAAATTAGGCATCCAAAAAAAATCATGAAACCTCTTTATTTGATCAAATATAAATGCATTATCATTTATTACACTAAATTTAAGCATTGTTATTTTATTTTAAAGCACTTAAATCGGCATTTTTTTCAATCTTCCGTCGGTGACTAGACGGGATGTTTTGATGCATATGTAAATTTCTTGAAGCTCTTGCGTGGGCCGTGGAATAGTTTAATTGGAAAGTCTTGCTCATTTTCTGATACATTAGTAATAACATATAAATTTTAGAAACGCGATTTCATGTTTTTTACCTTACTAAAGTCGAATAACAAAGTAAAAACATGTCATGAAAACTTAATTCTTGGCGTCGAGTTCTTGCGAGTACTTCGCCATTCTATCTTCCAACAATAACTCTCAAACGGCTAGACTATAGAATCATACCAGTCCACACGAATTGTCTTAGTAATCGCTGCTCCCGCAGTCACGT